AGGAAAATGAAAACAAAAAATGCACTTATACTTAAAGACAGTTAAAATTTCTGAAGTGCATAATGAAGAAAGAAGGCTTGGAGAATTTGACACTCACTGGTAAGAGGAACGGTAGGAAATAGCGAATATCCTACCTAACAAGATCATGTAAATGGATGGATAGGGATAAAGAGGGTGTAATCTTGCCAAGAGTAACAAAGGTAGGAAGTTGGAGAGAGTCATGAAGTTGCACGTCTCAAAGTGAAACGATACATAAAAGAAAAATATTATCCTTTCTCTTGTGGTGTTAACATGGACATTTATACATCGAATACAGATAGTATTTAATTATTAGGATTGTTCGAATGTAAACGTTGTAGAAATTGATTTTTAAAATAAATACTAGTAGTATATGGTAGTATAAATAGTAGCGAAATTTATTTAATTGCTTACTGATTTTAAAAAAGTATATACAGGATGAGAGACATTGGGTGGAAAGGATCCGGATTTTTTATTCTTAACATCAGCATATGAATAAAAAGTTTGATTATCATCAGTTATTTTCACCATATACTGTTTAACAAAAAAAAAAAAACGGAGTTTCTACTCAAATACGAAATATCCACTAAAAATAATGTTTAAGAAATAACATCTGTTGACTTAATAAATAAAAAACCCATCCCTTTCTTGAGAAATTGCTTCGTTTACGTTAGGATGCGAAACTGGGCAGATATGTCTATTTTGAGAGTCAGAGAATAATTTGTGTTTAAAGAGAATAGTCAATTTTTCTTAGTCATTTAGTTTTCTTCAGCGTTTACTCAAATATGAGCATCCACTAAAAATAACGTTTACATAATTACATATAAGTCGTTAAACGCCGCATCAATAAACACTCTCCTTACAAGGAAATATACGAGAAACACAAAATTGTCTATAACAAAATCCTTACCGATAGTGGTTACAGATCTTCCGAAATTAAATACAGAGAAAATTGTAGTTATTCTAAAAAAATACAATAGAGGAAGGAGAATAATTTGGTATACACCTCCCTTCAACAAATTAGTCCGTACCAAATTAGGACACAAATTCTTAAATCTAATTAACAAGCACTTTCCTACGAAGAGTAAATTAAGTCAAATCATCAACCGCAATACCTTAAAAATTAGTTATAGCTGTTTCAGAAAATCTAGATAAAATTATTAAATCACACAGCAATAGAATACTAAAACTTCATAACGATAATAAACGCAACCTAAACACAGATTCTAATACATCCCAGGAAAAAAAAAGCAATGCAATTGTAGAATCCCCGATCAATATCCATTATTAAACAGGTGCTTAACGAAATCCATAGTGTATATGTCTTATATCTCATCAAATGGGAACCCCAGAGATATTAAGCTGGATGTGGGGTCAACTGGCAGACCTTTCAAGGATAGATATTACAATCACATAAACAAATGCGGGTAAACGCAATATGACATCACATTCGAAATATTTTTGAAAAAGTGAAGGTGGAAGGAAAAACACCTAAGGTTAAATGGAAAATCCTAAGAGAAGCCAGAACTTGCAAATCTCTGAACGAACCTTGCTTTTTATGTGTGCAGAAGAAAATATTTATCATTGAACTTTTGAACAATACCCAATTATTAAATCAAAGATATGAAACCACCGTTTTTGTAGGCATACTAAAGATCTAACATTACAATCTTGCTAAATTCTTAATTCCATAACTCTAAACGTTTTAAATTATAACTCACATCCTTTGATATATTTCCTACCCTCTTATGTACCTCTCCACTAATATATCTTAGATTAGGATTCTTAAAATATTTTGTTTTACATATATATTACTAGTAATATTTTCAGATAAATTGTTTTACATCCATACTTATTCTACACACTATACTGTCCGAGAATAGGTCAAAATTAGATTATAAAAGTTATATTAATATCCCATACCTTTTTTAAAACCCGAATAACATATATATCCAACATACAAAGAAAAAATCACCACTTCTAAATTTATTCATTTACAAAACGCTTTCATTGATTACGGAATTAGTATTGATAACTCCAACATAAATATATGCAATTCAGCTTTAGCTTGATTTTTTTTTTATAGTAAACCCCCAAAAAGCATTCCCAATTACTACTCTAACTATCGCTAGAATTTATCCCTCCTACCTCTTCCATCGTATTACTATCTCCTATTCCCACCTTTCCCCACCTCTCACTCTTAGGACGCATGTGCGATGATGTGCCTAAACATTTGACCATGGTTATCGGCAAGGAATCTTCCCAGACTAGTCAGCATTCAACACCCCACCCATCCTTCACCAAAACTGCTATCAACGAGTACTATTGTTTCATTCCGTCACTTTTTTGCTTTATGTATATTTTTTTCTCAAAAAAAAATGGAAAAAAGGAAGTGACGTTTCACATTCGGCTTGCCTACAAGCAGAATACTTCAAAACAATTTTCGTTTCTCACCCGTCGAATTGCAGTTGAAAGCATCGAAACGAAGTTGCATCTTTGTAGTGAGTAAACTGTTTTGGTCTATATATATATATATATATACTTGAGCGCCATGAAAAGACAAAATTTACTTTTATTACCACTCATGACGATAATAGATAAAAAGTAAAACTGAAAAACGAGCTAACTAATAGGTTTCGAACCTCGCTCAACAGAGCTAAATCGAGGTTAATAAATTAAATATATTTACCACTAAAAAAGATTGACAATATGAATTGGGGGGAGAAAAAGTATTGCTTAGATGGAAATTATTTGGAGACTCAGTACGAAGTCCTTCCTTCTGTTTACACAGAGACGGCTTCAACGATAATATATATATATATATATATATGAAGAAATATAGTCTTAAGATGTGCTATATTTATGGGATAAAGTGCTCAATATCAGAGATAGAGGGGACAGTCTGTTCCATGCTATATGCATATATATGTAATCGTCAGGCACTCGTGGCCTGACGATTACATATATATGCATTTGGCATGAAACAGACTGTCGCCTCTAAGTGTTGACTTCTATGTTCAATTTTTATATATATATATATATATATATATATATATATATATATATATATATATATATGAAATAAAGGTAACAAATCCGTTGGTATATAATACAAGTGGATCATAGTAATATAACATATTAAAACTGATCTACAAAGAGATTAATTTATTATTACGGTTCAAATAATTAATGAACAATAAAATTACCACATATGGGGAATAGCCTATTTCGGCAGAAGAAGATATCAGTTGTCTGAAGATGTACTGAAAATGTATCCGCTAAACAAGAGAACCTTTCCTAAAAAAATTCTGTGTTCATTTGATTAGATTTTAAGAATTGTGTTGTGGTGAGAATATTCCTGTGTCCATATAATCAAATAGATAGATAGATAGATAGATATATAGATAGATAGATATATAGATAGATAGATACCGGGTGTAACTGAAAAATTGTCCAAATAGTGTTAGAGCATAATTTTCCATCCCGCAAAATGTTTAATATCTGATAAAAAAAAAACACTAAATTAATTTTTTTCGGATTTTCAGATAAGACGTTTAGCAAATGTGACACCTTTTTTTAAGAATCACTGAAAAAGCCCGTGAGTTATTCAGCTAGAAAGAGAACAGGTTAAAATCGTTTTGTGTCAGCCCCACTCTCTTCCAAAATGAGCAATGGTGAGAGGAAAAAGATCATTCAAACCTTCAGTAATGGCACCGACATTCATACTCTGGCTTCCATCTTCAAAGTCCATTCAAGAACTATCAAGAGAATGGTGAATAAGCTTAAAAATCACAACAATAAGTTGGAAAACGATCCTGCAATGATATATATATTTGAACTTAATTTCAATCCTTCATGAGCTTCCAATCCTTAGCTATGATTAATTAATGACGAACATGTCATTTTCGTTTACGATCGATTTCATCAGGATTCTTCTGTTAAGCATGAAGAATAATTATACATTCATATTGTTCAAAGTACAATAGTGTTATAAAACTTCGGAAAATTCCAGTAAGATATCTTTAATCATTTCTAAGATACAACGGTTCAAATCTTAATCTAAAAATTGGACAATTTTACTGCTACATCAGATAGATAGATAGATAGATAGATAGATAGATAGATAGATACGAACAGTTATAGATAGATAGATAGATAGATAGATAGATAGATAGATAGATAGATAGATAGATAGATGTAAGCAGTAGGTATATGTAAATAGATGTGAATATGTAAATATATGTTAATATATATATGTGTGCATGTTTCACTTGAATAAAAAAGACCCTTAATCTTAATTTATTTTCAACATCATTTAACGGCCAAATGTCTGGGCTTCAGTAAGGGAAAGAGAATTAAAGATTTATTGACCGTCTAACTTGGTCCAAAACCACAGTCGTACGGCACTCAGTGAGGGCAGAACTCTTGATTGACACATGCGATCAGGTGGAATAACTTTTTTTGACCGATTAAATAAACGATCAGCTAATTTTGGCAACAATATATTTTGATGGATAGACAGGGAAACAAAATTATCTGGTTCATATATATATATATATATATATGTGTGTGTGTGTGTGTGTGTGTGTGCGTGTGTGTGTGTGTGTGTGTGAAGAGAGGAGATAGGAATAGATAGATTTGGAAAACTTACGACTATCTGAAAAGTAAACAATCGCAGTTAGATAAGAAGAGACTAAGACATTAATATATTTTGATATGAACAGATTAAGATAGACAGATAGATAGAAGTTACAAGTAAGGAATAAAAACAAGATATTTGGTGAGTGTGAAAGAAGATAGAATGTGGGTGTAAAAAATGGGAATGGAGAGATGGTGGGAGAGAGTAAGAAAGAGAAAGATATTAAAAGAAAGAGTGGAAGGCAAAGAAATAAAAGGGGATATAAAAAGAAGATGAAACTAATGAAGAAAGTAAGAGAGGGTGCAAGAAGAAAACGCAAGAAAAAAAATTACATGGAACGCCGTCAAGAAAGCAGATAGATAGATAGATAGATAGATAGATAGATAATGAATAGACTGAGATAGATAGATAGATAGATAGATAGATATGAACAGAATGAGATAGATAGATAGATAGATAGATAGATAGATAGATAATGAATAGACTGAGATAGATAGATAGATAGATAGATAGATATGAACAGAATGAGATAGATAGATAGATAGATAGATAGATAGATAGATAGATAGATAGATAGATAGATAATGAATTGACTGAGATAGATAGATAGATAGATAGATAGATAGATAGATAGATAGATAGATAATGTTTGTATGTATATATGTATGTAAGAATTTTTTTTAAATTTCTTTTGACAATTTGATAGATTGTTTGTAGGAGAGGTCAAGTGTCCATAAAATTTGGGAAACTTGTTGCAATGTCTGAAATAAAAAATGTTTTCTGTTTCTAACGATTAGGCCTAAAGAGAAAAAAAAGGTCACTAGATGATGGATTAAGCCCCCCCCACCTCCCTGAACCAGACACCCTGGCCGCTACTTCATCATCGCAAACGTCAACCCAACCCAAAATAAAAAGGCATTAATCTACCCTATTGAGTGGCGGAGTAGAACTGATATAGCGCCATGGTTAAGAAGCTCGTAAATTTACCCAATTCCCTCATGTTAAGAGTTCGATCTTTACTGAACCTTCAACTATTTTGCCAGGTAGAGTTGCACCAGTTGCAGCATAATTTGAAGTAACTCTATTTTATAGGCCTCTTCTTATTTCTAGAAACTAAGAACATCATTGAGCTAGTGCCTAATTTACATTTGTTTTTAATCGATTCAACACAAGCAAGGCGAGAAGCCACTAGGACGCAAGGGGCTACAGAAAATTTAGAGCAAGATCAGATAGGAGTGATAGAAGAAAGGACGAGGAGAAAGATAGTGGATATATCAAGGCAACTGGAGATGTCGATTGACATCGCATTTGAATAGCTGGAGATTATAACTCACAGGGAAACTGGAATAGGGAAGGGAGTTCCACAGGCGAGAGGTGCGAGACATGAAACTATTGGAGTAGAAGAGACGGCTACATTTAGGAGTTTCGACAGTGAAGGGGTGAGAGCGGGATGCCAGCCTCGTAGGGCGCTTGAATTCATGAAGTCTGGGAACCAGCGAATGCAGCTCCTCGGACAATTGCATTGAAAGTATTTGTAAAAAAGACAGAAAGAGGCGACGGCGTGTCTGTGAGAGAGCGACTGTACACGAGATGCCAGAACAGGGCCACCTCTGAAGCTTATCAAGAACCCTGAGGCAAACAGAAGGGGCTCCAGACCATATATGGCAGCAATCCATGCAAGGACGAATTGTTGATTTGTAGATCTGAAGGATCGATTCCGGGGAGAAAAATTTCCTGGCGCGGCTCAACTTTCCTTGCGGTGGACGAAGCAATTGACTCAATGTATTTATTCCATCTCAGGTCAGCAGTCAACGTGAGACCGAGCAGCCGCAGAGAGTTGGTCTCGAGAAGTTGAGCGTCAGACATTGCTATCAATATAATTAACAAGCTCATCTGGTAGGCTGTTCTGGGCGGTACCACTGGACGCCCCATTAATATGGCCTTATGACAGACAAATCGAATCTTAATCTAGCAGTCACCGATAGATTTTTTACGTTTGAATTCCTATTCGCCTAGCCGTACTGGAATAAACATAAAGATTTTGCCAGGATGTCTTTATGGAAAATATTTCTTTATAAAACATGATTGGTTCGAGTTTGCCCTTGATCAGGTTTAGCTCCTCATAATACGAAATGTAACAATTTAATTTCTATGAAACAAAGTTTGCTCATCTTGTCACCATTGACTACGATCACGTTCACATAACTCCGCTTGTGAATCCTTACACTTCATGAGACGATGACGCCATTGCTGGAAACATACCCGGAAATCGTTTTCCGGAAGTAATTTCACTAATGTAGTCATGAACGTCAGAGATACCAATATCCCATTTGACATAGACTGTCTACTCTTCATGTGATTAAGGATAAGGTTAGACGCTGTTCAAGGGCACAAATGTGGGCGAAAAAAAAATGGAACTGAATTAATTTTATGTGGATATGACTATCAAATTTTAGTTACGCGTATTCATGCCATCTTTTTAATCAAATCTGAAAAATGTAACATTTGCTTTAGATGTGCTCTATCCCTACTGTATTGAGCACTGTATTAAAAAAATCGACGATGACTTGCAATTATTTTAAACATATCACCCCGTGCAAGGTAATAAATCCACTAAGACACAAGGTGTTACAGAGTGTGGAAGAACGAGAAAAAAGAGCGAGAAAGGAGTGGGAAGAATAGAAGTATAATCAAGATAGTAGCAATTGACATTGCTTTTAAATTTTGCAAGATCAAAATTTGCTAGAAAGCATGGATCCGAAGAAGACTGCCCCAAATGAGAAGTGCGGGCGAAGAAACTGTTAGCATAGAACTTACGGTTACATCTAGCCATTTCAACTGTGACTTGATTCGGACTTGCCGTTAATCTAGAACTGGACATAAATTCATAGTCTAAGTACCAAAGAGGAAATTCATCAACGAAATTACCAAGAAAATATTTATAGAAAAGGCACAGGGGAACTATATCAGGACGGTGGGAATGTGACTGAAGCCGAGACGCCAGATCAGGACCAATAATATTGCTGAGTCTTCTTTGGATCTCCAAATATACAGCGGAAGTACCGGATCAGATGTGGTAGTAATGTTCAAAGCATGAACGAATGGTAGACTTATATATATATATATATATATATATATATATATATATATATATATATATATATATATGCAAGATAAATGCTGGAAATAAAAATTGCCTAGTACGACGTAATGAATCGACTTTCTGAGGAGGAGATCTAGCAATGGATTCAATATAGTCATCCACTTCATATCAGGCAAGAATGTTAGACCGAGGAGTTGCAACAAGACACTCATCATATAGAAGTTAGCATCCGCCATGCTGATGGAAGGCAGGAAGTAGTCTTTCAAACAAATGATTAATAGAGAGTGGCTTCGTTTTGAAGGTGTTAAAATTAACAAGCCATTCCTTGCACCCAGTTAACAACAAATTGTCGTTCATTTTTTAGATCACTTGCCAATTATTTATTCACTTATCGAGACAGGAGTTGCTTTTCAATTAAATAATTAATCGTTTATTTTGCAGAATATATATATATATATATATATATATATATATATATATATATATATATATATATATATATATAAACAAAATACTAAAGAACTTCGGATTATTTAACTAACCTGTTCTTTTTCCTATTTTCTATATGTTTGCACACACACACACACACACACATATATATATATATGATAGATAGAGAGAGAGAAAGAGAGAGAAGGAGAGCGAAAGATATATATATATATATATATATATATATATATATATATATATATATATATATATATATATACGTAGCTGGCCACTGTATTCCAGATACCGATCTACTAGGGTGGCACGCTAATCCCTATTGCAAACACTTCCTCGGGCACATTTGTGTTTGTTCAACAACTACAGATGGTATTTATCAATCCACCCACGGGGATCGAATGTGGCACAAGGCCTTTTTAATGTGGGTATCTCTGAGCCCGTAGGCCCAGCCAAAAATAAATAACCATCCAAACCTGTCGAGGCGGGCCAGTTCCGACAACCTCCCCCAACGAAACCCTACCCTTCGGCAGAGCTTCGTCCGGGTTCCTCTCTGCAAGCAGAGAGCTCGACAGACACCCGACCCGGCAGCTCACAAAGCGCAGATTATACACTTTGATCCTAGCCACCGGGCCGAGCGGGTATTCGTTTTATCGACAACTACAGAGACCACATAGGGTTTAAACTGCAACTATGCTGAGCACACCTTCGTTAGAGTTTCTGGGAAAGAGCGTGTTATCTAGCGTGTTCAGTAATTTGATCAAGGCCAGCACGCTTCGGTCAAGGTGACCTGTGACTTTCTGCTAACATAACTATTAACGGCGCCGTCTATCCAGTTTCACTCACAAGTTTTGTTTAACCCGTAGTATTGTTTTCAGGCACATTCTAAAGGTGCCGCGCGCTTGGATCACCCCTCCAGACTGATAACATCAGAGGTTTTCAATTTTTAAATTATGTATATATATATATATATTTGTATAACCAAAATTATACGCATATATATATATATATATATATATATATATATATATATATATATATATATATATATATATAATCCGTTGGTATATAATCCAAGTGGATGCACAAAATGAGATCAATATATTTATTATTACTGAGCAAAAATTAATACGCAATAAAATCCCAAATCACCTCATACGGGAAATAAGCTTATTTCGACGGACGAAAATATAATTTGTCTGTCGCATCAACCCCGGTATAGACTGAGTTCGCGTCGGAAATAGAAATTTAACTGTAAAAGCTACAAATATACCCTGCCAAAAAACTAATACACAAATTATCTATTTCAATATATATATATATATATATATATATATATATATAGCTGGATTGATGTGAGTTTGGGAGCCTTGGTTTTACGCTATTTGCGATCGTGACAAACTCACCGCGCATATATATATAAAAAATGCATGCACACACATGTATGCATATATATTATGAAATGGACAAAGTCCTACAATTATTTTAAGACATTTTTATGTTTATACATTCTTTTTATAGATACAAATATTTAAGTAAATGTTCTGTTTATAATAAACAGTATTAAACAACATTTACCAGCCTGAATGTCCGATAAATTTTCATAGAAAATATTTGTCTTCCGACACGAATCGAACCTATATCCTATACGAAACCGTCATTTAGCCTGACGTGCCTTAACTGATTGGGCATGGTATGAACACCACCCAGACTCGGTTACGGAAATAGGACCTGTTACAATTCTATGAGACTACACGATACACACTGACACAACAATCAAAGCTAACCGCCCAGATATTGTTATTAAAGACCACAAACAAAAAAAGTGCCTCCTTATTGATATGGCAGTCCCTGTTGACTGCAATGTATCTTTGAAGATATTCAAAAAGCTGTCAAAATACCTTGAAATAGAAACCTCAAAAATGTGGCACATGGGAACATCAATAATCCCTGTTGTAGTTGGAGCCCTAGGATTGGTTGGAAAAGATTCTAGTAGACTAATTGAAGGGTTTCCTGGAATTCCATGGCTCAAAGAGATACAAAAAATTGTTCTCACAAGTACAGCCCACACTTTACGAAGGGCTTTATCTATGTAATTTTTTTTTGTCAGTGGAAAGTGTCATGACGCCATTTCTAACCTTAGGTCCTTGGACGGGACCCGGAAAGAAATGTGTAAACGCCAGAAATCAAAGGAAATAATAATAAAATAATAAT